TAACTGTGGGGAAATGTGAGATTTCATAACACTTTTAAGCAACTTTTGTTAAAGTTAAACTCATCATTCTATCAATGTGCAGAAGCCAGTACTTTTCCCTTGTTTTGTCTATCTGAAGGCCAAGCTACATGGCACCGTGGCAGCTGCTGATTGGAGGACTTCATGCCTCCGCTCTGTATAATACACTTGCATTCTATTGTTTCTGTGATCGTGTGCTTTGATCGTGCTGTCTCTACCATCGACAATAAAACATGTCTTCTGTCTGATTTAAAGACGCGATCCCAGACTATGTCATCTTCTTCAGAAAGAAAACATACAAAATTCCACGCTCAGCCCAAAAAGTCAAATAATGACTCAGAGGGCTCTAATGTGTGAAAAATAATGATTAAAAAAATGCCCTGCTGTGTGTTCTGTTTGATTTGTTCACAACATTTTACTTTTTTGCTCAAATAACATGCATTTTTAAAGCATGGGGTAAATTTAGGTATCTGAGATTCAAATTCAGTTTGAGTTTTGCACTTCGGCAAGAGACACAGTAGAGACTCGGGGAGACACAGGAGCTGGTCCTGAACACGAGTCAAGGACCGCGCAGATGGTTCTGTCCATGGTTCTGTCCACGCGACTAGGGTCCGCATGCGGCACCATGTTACAGATGTGCGTTCGCTGAGCTGTTGTCAAAGTGGCTGTCAGGACAAAATGGGCCACAGCTGCCCCGGGGTCAGAGCAGAGGATGTGAATCGTGTTCAGAAAAGGCGTAATTCCTATTAAAAAACGTCCCAATCACTTTTACTTACCAAAATTCTCCCCGCTGCCGCTTACGTTGGTTGGTCGCGTCCAATTCTTACATTTCTCGCCACAATGCTCCCTGCGCATTTGGTGGTTGCATCCAATTCTTAAATTTCAAAGTACTTTGCTATCTGCTGCCACCTATTGATATAAAAAGTATTACGTGGTTACTCCACAGTCAGCGCTCGCCAATAGTGAATGCAGTTATTTTTAGACAAAGTTGGCGAATTTCTTACGGCACACCAGCCAATATCATACAAAAAGAAAATTAGGCTATGTTTTTCTTATTCACAGGTCTATAGCTCTAGTTATTTGAATGTATTACACAATACATGGAATCTTAAAATGTAATTCACTTTCCTTAAAGCTTAGCGTACATCGGACTGGCAACTGATTATATCCGTCGCATATGAGTTGCTGCCCCGCACACATCGACAATCTGACGAAAACGGGCAACTCCCAGTAGCAGACCAGTCTCGGGAATAACAGCGCGTACATCGACAGCAACTGGCCTCAACTACAGTGTGTTTTCTGACATAAACTGTTGCGGGCTCGCAATACACGCAATACACACACGTTGTCGTAGCGGCGCATGGAGCGCGCACATCGGGTTATATCTCCGAAACTGAGGACAAGTAGTTGCCGAAAAGTAGAACACGGGCAACTGACTGAAACTGGAGACCGACTGATCATCTCCAGTTGTAAGAGCGCGTACATCGACCGATTTCGGCAACTGATCATCTCCATCATCTCCTCTCAGTTGCCAAAAGCCGCCTTGCAACTAGTTGTCCCCAGTTTCTCTGTCGATGTACGCTAGGCTTAACAGATTATGAAGCAAAATATCAGGAAGAGGTACTTGCTCAAAGAAGACGGCAACGTGCAGCTGCTGCTGCTGCTCTATGGATCCTTCTCAACCAGAAGGTCGTGGGTTCAATTCCCACCTCTGCACCTTCTCCACCAACTCCCACTGATGACTGCTGTTGTTGTGTCCTTGGGCAAGACACTTAACCCCACTTTGCCCAAAGCTCCCACTAAAAGATCAAGGCTATGCTCACACTCAGAGAGCAGCCGTCCTCCTGTGGACTCACCACCTGCAGAGGGTCAGTGAGGGGCTGGTGCTATGAGACTTGGGTGGCATCTCTGATTGCCACCCCCCTGACCCAGAAACGGATTAAAGGGTAGAAAATGGATGGATGGAGGGAGTTTTGCACATTGAGAGACTGGAATTCTTTCCCATTCTTCCTTGCAAAACAGCTCGAGCTCAGTGAGGTTGGATGGAGAGCGTTTGTGAACAGCAGTCTTCAGCTCTTTCCACAGATTCTCGATTGGATTCAGGTCTGGACTTTGACTTGGCCATTCTAACACCTGTATACGTCTATTTGTGAACCATTCCATTGAAGATTTGGCTTTATGTTTTGGATCATTGTCCTGTTGGAAGATAAATCTCCGTCCCAGTCTCAGGTCTTTTGCAGACTCCAACAGGTTTTCTTCCAGAATGGTCCTGTATTTGGCTCCATCCATCTTCCCATCAATTTTAGCCATCTTCCCTGTCCCTGCTGAAGAAAAGCAGGCCCAAACCATGATGCTGCCACCACCATGTTTGACAGTGGGGATGGTGTGTTCAGGGGATGAGCTGTGTTGCTTTTACGCCAAACATATCGTTTTGCATTGTGGCCAAAAAGTTTGATTTTGGTTTCATCTGACCAGAGCACCTTCTTCCACATGTTTGGTGTGTCTGCCAGGTGGCTTGTGGCAAACTTTAAACGAGACTTTTTATGGATATCTTTGAGAAATGGCTTTCTTCTTGCCACTCTTCCATAAAGGCCAGATTTGTGCAGTGCACGACTGATTGTTGTCCTATGGACAGACTCTCCCACCTCAGCTGTAGTTATCTGCAGTTCATCCAGAGTGATCATGAGCCTCTTGGCTGCATCTCTGATCAGTCTTCTCCTTGTTTGAGATGAAAGTTTGGAGGGACGGCCAGGTCTTGGTAGATTTGCAGTGGTCTGATACTCCTTCCATTTCAATATAATTGCTTGCACAGTGCTACTTGAGATGTTTAAAGCTTGGGAAATCTTTTTGTATCCAAATCCGCCTTTAAACTTCTCCACAACAGTATCTCGGACCTGCCTGGTGTGTTCCTTTGTCTTCATGGTTCTCTCTGCGCTTTAAACAGAACCCTGGGACTATCAAAGAGCAGGTGCATTTATACGGAGACTTGATTACACACAGGTGCATTCTATTTATCATCATCAGTCATTTAGGACAAAATTGGATCATTCAAAGATCCTCACTGAACTTCTGGAGTGAGTTTGCTGCGCTGAAAGTAAAGGGGCCGAATAATATTGCACGCCCCACTATTAAAAAAGTTTAAATAATCCAATAAATTTTGTTCCACTTCACGATTGTGTCCCACTTGTTGTTGCTTCATGACAAAAATTAAAATTTTATATCTTTATGTTTGAAGCCTGAAATGTGGCAAAATGTTGACAGGTTCAAGGGGGTCGAATACTTTCGCAAGACACTGTACATGACGTATATGCATCTGACAATCTGCGCTGCGTCTTGTGCGACGCAGCGCAGATTGTCAGATGCATTAAAGGGCATGTCTGTAACTTTTTAGGAGCAACCAATTAAGTGCTGTATTTTTTAAATATTGACCCAAGTTTATAGCTGTTAGATGATTAAATATATTTGATTATAACCTGTAAATAAGCTACAACAGAAATCTCCCTCCTCTGGATCCTGATTCTTTGACCGGAATCTTACCGTACTGTAGTCTCCTAAAACCAGCATATTTCCCAGGAGCCTCCACTTCACTAAGAGTGTGTTGTTTTCCTTCATTCAGCTGTGATTTACACTGATAGACAATAATTAATGCATTTAATCATTCAACAATAATTAAAGGAACTTGATCAAATTTACATTTATTTGTGTTTCACGCATAATATCGGTGTATTTGGCCCGCGGCCCACTGGCAATTTCTACTTTGGCCCTTGGAGGCAAAAGGTTTGGGCACCCCTGGCCTAGAATGAGTCTGGTGTGAGTTTGTGAATGGTTGGTAGTGGTCGGAGGGCCACATACTGGTTTCCTCGCTTCTGTCAGTTCCTCAATTTCCCTCATATTGAAAACCATTTACATATGCCCCACCCACCCCAAGGTGCTAAGCACCCCCGAAGGTGAAAGTCTAATATCGCCCCTGCTTTTATTTAAAAGTAATGTCACAAAAGACTATGTGACATTTGTAAATATTATAACGATGGGTAAATATAATATCCATGAAAGCAAATGGAAAATTAACCTGCAAAATATAACACATTTTTTATGTATTGATCCTCTCTGAAAAAACTGAAAGAAACAAATCTGAATGCTGATAAAATTTTGTCTGCTGAAAATCTTTTACTGTATTGAGACATTGGACAGTGTGTCTATCTTATCTTATAGGATGTTTTAACATTCAATGTGAAAGAGGGACCAGAGAGACCACATTAAAATATGAAAAACCACCAATTCGTTATTTCACAAAAAGTATTCATTGACTGTTGCCGTGTGTCGCCACGGCAACAGTCTGTCCACATCTTCTATTACATAGAGTTCTAGAAGACTTTTGGAATGCAAGTTTTTCATATGGTTTCCACGGTTACCTTTATGACACGGGGTTCTATGATATCTCTAAGTTAACACCTCGAGGGAGAGACAGAGCACAGCCGTGGACATCAGTAGAGGGGGTACATTTTACTCTCTTTATTAACGGGATAAAATTTACATCTCTGAACTTTAACACAGCAGGAGGTGTTAGTGCAGACAGCTGTACAGAGAGTAGACCTTATACTGTAACCCAGTGTCTCCCAAAGTGGGGTCCGCGGCCCCCTGGTGGGCCGCGAGGGTACTGCAAGGGGGCCGCGGGAGGCCATAAAAAAAATAAAAAAATAATATAATTATATAATGTTAAAATTATAATGTTTTGTTTGTAATATTAAAATATTTGTGTTCATTATTTGACTTGAATAATCCACTGTAATCATTTTTGTATTACAATGTTTGTAGCAGAGGCCATTTCCCCAAAATAAAATAACCAGAAGAGCCTATTCTTAATGTTGTCTTCTTGGTTATTATTTTGGGGGGCCACGCAGACCCGTCAGATTTTTAAGGGGGCCTCTGTGTCACTGAGTTTGGGAATGGCTGCTGTAACCTATTGATAAAAGTACTTAAGTATGGTTCGCAGAAGCCAGCACCTCATAGAGCAGGGATACTACGGTCCTGACGGGAAACCTGTGGTGAACTACAGGGAAAACCTGCAGACTGTTTTCAAGAACAGAAAAGTTCGTTCTGATCTTACGGTCGCGGCTCAAGAGAAAACCACATCCGTCCAACGCATTCTGTCTGGCTCGTTTTGCTTGCGCGTCTTCCTTTTTGTGGTCTTTATGTATTTATCTTTAGCAACCCCATGTGATAGCTTTAGCTTGCGCTCTGCCCCACAGACTGTAGTCTATAGAGCTACTATAGGAGAAGACGTCCATGGAGCAACTATAAAAGACAGCCTTGTTCTGAAATCTCAATTTACAAACACGGAGAAGAGGAGGATCCTGCCGGTGGAAGATTCACTCTGGAACTTTGCGCTAGGGGGTATGGGGGCTCACGTCATTTTGAGTTGGACGTCGAAAACCGCACCTCGCAGAGTGCGATCCACAAGTAGAGGGTTCGAGGTCAGGGCTCCGGACAGCGTACTCCGAGGGAAGGGTTCCGCACTGGTGCCGGGGGAGTTCTGGCCGATGCAGGGGTCGTCAGGGCAGCTGTTTATTGTTCTGCCCACTCACATCCACATCTCACACGTTACAATCGGACACATTACCGCGGAGCAGTCTCCCAGCGGTGGCATCCCCTCTGCTCCAAAGCACTTCAGGGTCTATGGCCTGAGCCAGTATTACGGGGAGGAGGTGCTACTGGGGACCTTTGTGTATAAGGAGAACAGGGGTTCGTTTCAAATGTTTGAGGTTTCCAAACACAGAGACCTGGCCTTTAAGTACGTTAGGCTTCAGGTGGACAGTAACCATGGCAACAAGCCTTACACCTGTCTCTACAGCGTCAGGGTTCACGGAGACATTCCCTCCGACCCTACACCTTCTGTGTAAGAGACTAATGGCAGGGCTTTGGGCTGGTTCAGCCAGAGGAGAGAGGGGGAGAGGAGGGAGACTGGGGGTAGGGGGGAGAGAGGGAGGGATGACAGGGGGTAGGGGGGAGATAGGGGGAGAGGGGATGAGAGACGCTACAAAAACTGAAGGTCCGTGGCTTCACTTCTGTAATGGATGAAGAGGCGTCAGACTGGGTCCGGACACAGGCTGTAGCTGCTGGTCTTCATCCCAACTCTTCCAGGATCACACCAGGCTGCATTTTCATCCAGGCTTAACCTGTGGTTGATGACATGAATGGGGTGTGGTGTGTTCCTTGTTTTGAGTGAAGGCCTGCAGTCACAGCTCTGATTGAACTGGTCTGATGGTTCTGAGTCTGCTCTGAGTGAAACAAGCTTTGACCTGAAGGAGTAGCATCTGAAACGGGTCCAGAGAAGTCCGTGGTCCAGAGAAGGCCGTGGTTCAGAGGAGGCCGTGGTCCAGAGGAGGCCGTGGTCCAGAGGAGACCGTGGTCCAGAGGAGACCGTGCAGTGAACTGGCAGTGATTTAAACCTTTGGCCTAATGAAGTTAACAGCAGGCCAAATGATCATTACATGTTCCATTTAATGCTTTGCCACGTAACAACTCCTTCAATGCCCTTGCTGATGGAAGGAGGTTTTCATTCAAAATCTCACAACACATGGCTCCATTCATTCTTTTCTTTACACGGATCTCACCTTGGGGTCAAAATGATCACTAGAACGGTGAGCAAAAATCCCAGAACCACACAGGGGGCCGAGTGAATGACATACAGAGAGCTGGGACCAAAGAAACAAAAACTAGCATCAGTGACACACTACGTCAACCAGGACTCAAGCAGGGGACTGCAAGATTTGAGTCCTGGGCGACGTAGTGTGTCACTGATGCTAGTCTCTGTTTCTTTGGTCCCAACTCTCTGCAGGTCATTCACTCGGCCCCCCGTGTGGTTCTGGGATTTTTGCTCACCGGTCTAGTGATCATTTTGACCCCAAGGTGAGATCCTGTGTGAAGCCCCAGATCGAGGGAGATAATCAGTGGTCTTGTATGTTTGCCATTTTTTAATTATTGCTCCCACTCTGGATTTTTTCACTAAGTTGCTTCCCTAATAAAGATTTATTCTTCCCAGCCCAATTTTCTTTCTGGTGTCCTTTGACAACTTGTTGGTCTTGGCCATAGTGGAGTTTGGAATGTGACTGTTCATACTGATAAAGTCCAAACAGGTAGCAGGTGGAGGACAGAGGAGCCTCTTAAAGAAGAAGTTACAGGTCTGTGAGAGACAGACATCTTGCTTGTTTGTAGCTGAGCAAATACTTATTTGCAAATAAATGTGATTTTCTGGATTTTTGTTGTCATTCTGTCTCTAATAGGTGAGGTACACCTTTGATAAAAAAATTGCACAATTGGTGGCTGACTAAATATATTTTGCCCCACTGTACCTTCCACCTAGATTGTCCACTTTCTGTTTAGCCATAATTGGGGCATGGGGGGGTTGGTTAAAGTTGACATCTGCCCTGAATGTTGATGAAAAAAGAATCCGAGACGGCCCACTGCAGGCTACCGAATGTAATGAACCTACAGCTGCAGCGACGGGACCGTGTCATCTCTGATATTTACAGTACAGTGAAGGCGTTTTTTACCGAGCTGGATGAGGAGTGCTCTATTAAAGGAGACACAAGCAGATGCTATTAACACTTTGTACAATGATATACAGTGGGGAGATACTGTCCACACTTTGTCGCCATTGATGTAATAAGACGTCAATTTAAAATAAATAGTTTTTCCATCTTGTTTATTTTTTTGTATGTATTTATTTGAATTTGGGACAGTACATATTCATCAATGTGACTGCAAACAGCGTTAACATAAATATGCTGGAATTAGCACAATAGCTACTGTAAATTGCATCCATCGTCTTAAGGCCGGTAAGAAACACACAAACACACAGTTAGTAAAAGTACAAACAATAAGTCGACAAGCGAGACAGAATTTAAAAGATGAGAGAAAGCCCAAGAAGAGCAGATCATAGAGGGAGCATGACTGGTTTGATTTCAACCAATGTTTGAGGACTCCTTTAAATGTTCGGTAGGTCCCACAGTTTCGAATGTGTTCCGGCAAAGTGTTCCATGATGTTCGCCTTTTGTATGTAAGTCTCCTCTGGTTAGTGCTCTGGTTCTCCACAGTTGTTTTCCTCTCCGTTTGTGTCCCCTGTATCATATATGTCTGGGGATTTGCTGTAAAGTGCCAAACTGCCGTTGTGTCCTTCACCCACATTGCCTAGAATGAGTCTGGTGTGTGTGTGAATGGTTGGTGGTGGTCTGAGGGGCCGATGGCACATACGGGTTGCCTCGCTTCTGTCAGTGTGCCCCAGGGCAGCTGTGGCTACATGTTTAGCGTCTTTGAGTGTCCTGCACTATATAAAACCTGATGCATTATTATTGTTACAACAACTAACTGTTATATCTACACTAGTATTTTATTCATGTAACTTACTCATCATACCAGTAGAGGGTGCTGTAAGCTCTACTGTGAGTACCAGAGCAGCTCACAGCCTCAGAAGTCAGTTGAGGAAAGTCATTAAAAAACGTATTGATGATTTTTTTCAAAGGAATGACGAGGAATCTTGGTGCTGTAATTAATATAGACTTTTTGCTTCATCCAATCCTGTTTCAAACTAAATCAAGGGACAATTAAAACAGGGCAAATTGTGTGCTTAATGATGTGAATGAATGTGATTAATCGTGAGTTAACTTTTAATCAGTGATTAAAAGTCTTTTCCTATCAGTGTCTGAGTGCATCAGCACACTGCAAAAAATTATAAATATGAGGTTTAATTGCTTGAAGGTTTTTGATTTTAATCCGAGCAGCACATTCTGTCTGTTTTAAAACAAGATTTGAAAATGGGACAAAGACATTTAGTCTTTTTTCAATAACTGTTGCTTCATTTTCTCTTTCCAAGGGAGACAATTCTTGTATCTTTTTTAACCCTTGTGTGGTGTTCGGGTCTGTGGGACCTGTTTTCATTTTTTATTAAAAGAAAGATGATACAATTCATTAATTTTTCAAACTGAGACTCACTGGTTTTGGCTCATTTTATGTGAAGAACATATATTAGAATATTTTTTTAATGACCACACACCGTACACCCCCCCTACACATTTCTTATACATAGAAGATGTTTGCGGTCCACTGACCCGGGGCAAATAGAAGTGTGGAAAAAAACCTTGCTCCACCTACCCATACACCCCTAACCATACCATATATAAAAGTTAAAGCATGAGAAACAACATTTCCCACAGACAGGCCATGATCTAAGGAAACGGAAACGTCAGTTGTGGTGATGGTGTGGTCTGACTTCTATTGAACAGGTGGGGGTTGATGCTATAAAAGCTGTAAAAGAATTTGAAAACAAGAAAGTTCAGAACAGTCAGTAAAAGGTAAGAATGAATATTATTTACATTTTATGTTTTAGACTAAAATATTTATTTTTCTCACACCCCTAATAATTGTTGGTACAATTCTACATGCATTTAACAAATACATTTTATTTTGCATTAGATAATTGTACGTTCTTCATTCCATCTGATATCAACGCGACAGCCTCACCAGGTAACTTTATGATGCTAATGTCAGATTTATTAGTATAGAACATTTACAACAACACCAGCTTCACAGGCACAAAAGAAAACAGTATAAAACACATACATATAAAGTGTAAAATGTAAAAGCGCTTTGTGATCCTAGTCTCTGAAAGGCGCTATACAAATAAATTTTACTTACTTACTTACTTAAAATGGTAAAACTCAAAAGTGAAGGAGAGGCATACATGCAAAAAAGACACAATAATTAATATTTGTTTTGATCGTTACAAAAGTATTGCGCACAATAAAGTACTTTCAGGCAGATTCCATTCATTCAGATTCCAATTTTCCATTAATTATTTTTAGACTTTTGTTCAAACCCAGACCCAAGATCAAACCTCCACCAAAACCAGACCTGGACCAAAACCAGACCTGGACCAAAACCAGACCGAGTTCAGACCCAGGCCTTCACCCGAGACCAGACCCAAAACTAGACCCTGACCAACCTGGGTTTATTCCATCAATATATGTGGTCTTTTGTTCAAAACCAGACCCTAGAACACAGCCCAGACCAAAACAAGACGCACGACCCGACCACTGACCAACCCAGACTAGACCCATTTTCAAATGCATTGTTTCACATTAGGAATCGGACCAGTACTCAGACCCAGACAAGGACTAGGACCCAGGATTCAGATCAGCCTGTTTTAATTGTTACAGAATCCATTCCAGACTCAAAGATGATGAGACAGGTTGCCTTTCTGCTGATGATCCTGGCGTCGGCCAGTGGTTTCCTGAAAAAACCCAGAGTGTCACTTACACTCTACCAACAATTCGTCAACTTCTCGACAAAGCACATCATGGTTGACCGAATGCCTGTGGGCAAGTGCTTCAACGTGCTCAAAGAGAAAAGGATCAACCAGGAAGGGCAGAAGTGCAAGAAAATCAACACCTTCATCCATGCACCTCTCGAGGATGTCGTCAAAGTGTGTGAAGTTGGAGAGATGCAGAAGGACGAAATGAAAAAAAGCATAGAAAAGTTCAACATGACAGTGTGTAGCGCGACCAAGCAGGGAAAATTTCCCAATTGTACATATGAGGGCAAGATCATAAAGGCTAAGATCCTCATCAAATGTTTACCAGTGATATCGCTTCCGGTGCATTTCCATGACTCACCCAACAATGGTCATTCAGAAGTATTGTTCTGGTCCGAAAAGTGATTTGTAATGTTGCGTTTGCCAATTTGACCATTTGTGTTTAGTGTCATGCTGATTTCTTTTCAATGCCAAAATAAAAATAAAAAGAATGTTTCAAATATTTGACTTTTCATTTTATCTACTGAAAGCATGATTTTGTGCAGTCTAAGCTAACTGGCCTCCTACATGGTGTCATGATGCAGTCAATAAGATGTCAACCTCTGTCCAAACTTGCAAGAATAAAACATTCTGACCACTGGACAACACCACTGAATTCTACTTGGTGACATGTTTCTATTGGTTAATCAGTATAACTCTGGTTACTTTTGGATTCACAGCAATGAAGTTCTGGGTTCGATTCCACCTCCATCTTAGACACTATATATAATCTGTACAATGATAGTAAACGGTGGGGAGATGCTGTCTACACTTTGTCGCTCTACGCATTAAAGACTTATAACAACAAAGTCTCCAGTCTGGTTTTTCTTGCATTATTAATTCTGACTCTGCTACACCTTAAATCTTACAGGCCAACCGCCTATGAGTATTTTGGGTTTATTCAAGACCATTTCCTTTTTAATGTGAGAGGTGTGAACAGAGACTGTGAACCACTATCAGGTGACACCATTTTGACATTTGGAACAATTTATCTCAACATAAAGGGAATAAGAACAACCATAATTTGATGTGGAGTTTTCCAAAATGCAATGGTAAAACATGCCCTAAAATGGTGATGTGAGGACTTGTTTCCTCCACATATTCTTCTATTCTGTCCCAGTTCATTTAAGTCAATTTGATCATTGTCAGATAAATATTTGTTTCTACTATCTATTTCCTTTTAAAGGCTGTAACTTTCAAACTGAGGATTCAAATACACATGTAAGACAGCCCCCTAATTGTTGTATTTAAACTAGTATTTTATTGATGTAACTTACTCATCTCACCAGTAGAGGGTGCTGTAAGCTCTACCAGAGTACACAAGACCAGCCTCAGAAGTAAGGTGAGGAAAGTCTTTCGAAAACTGATTATTAATGATTTATTGAAGGGAAACTTCTGTAAATTATGTAGACGTGTATAAACATGAAGGGGGCAGGCCTACGGCAATCTTGGTGCTGCAACTAATTACAAAATGTATTCAAAATCAATCTTTATTTTTGCTGAATTGCATTTTTCCTGGTGTAACATGATGGTATACAGTGGTCAGCTCTCCACAGCTCCTCAGATGGTGATGGGATTTCAACCAAAGATCCTGCACAGACATATTATTGTTTCTGTATACTGACTTTTGACTTGACATTTGTTTATTTGTCATGGGAACATTTACTGTCATGAAGTTAGAAGTCACTAACAAAAAAAAGTGAAGATGTGTTTGTATAACTATAGCTTTTGGTTTTACATATATAACAAGTTTGATGCTTCACAGGGCCAACTATCAAAAAAATATATATAAAACCCTCCCCTGGGAATCCTTATGCTGCTTTGGGTACTATTATTAACAGCTTGGAAACTCGGGTCAGAATTTTGACATGGGTTTGGGAACCAATCCCGGAACGACGAAGCTTGAAGTGTCTTTACTGATCCAGCAGATGGGAGTAGACATATTTATCCTCCCTCATGTTTATCTTGCTCAAGTGGCGCAAAGTCTAACCAATTACAGTTCTGCGGCTCCATTTTATTTTTTTCATCTTCACACTCACTTTTTTGACAATCTCACACCTTCTGTATCCTCTGAATACAGCAGTGACGTGACCATAACTTTGCTTGGGCCTCTCTCAAACTTTGATTTGAAGCATGATCTAAGTGTGTGCGTTCTGGAAACTCATCAGCAAATGTGAAGCAGACAGATGCGGGGGTTCTCTGATGTTAAATGTTAAACCTTTTACTTACATACATCATCAATTTCAATCAAAAGAACAGATAATGAAGGAGGACTGCAGTCACAAATTCGGTTCAAACCACTTTATTCGATAAACTCGATGCTATCCAGAGATTTTTCTTCTTTTCTCTTAGTTTTTATAGGAAATTATCCCCATCCCACCTTGAGTCACTTTCTCAGATTTCACATCTTCAACCATTTCACAAGTAAACCCTCCCACTTCCTGATCCAGTGCAACCATGGCAACAAGATAGTCAACAACAACAACTGCCGTCCTCCCGTAAGAGAATACTGTCTGCCAGGTCAAAAAATAGATAGATGGATAGATAGATATAGATTGATAGATTCAGGTGTCCACTCGTAACATTTTGAGTTTACAAAAGTGGCTTTGGTGTGAAATCCCGTTACAACGTCCTGTCCCCATTCAAAATATGGTTAACCACAAACCCTGTGGTGCAGATGCCGGGGTAGAGTCTGTTTACTCTGATCATCCATCTGCATCATTGCAGCCTGTATTCACCAGGGCATCACAGGACATACTTGGGCCTGGTTAGTACTGTGATGGGAGACCTACTGTATGAGTGGAGCGGATGTAAAGTGCCAACCGTTTCTCCCACATTGCCTAGAATGAGTCTGGTGTGTGTGTGAATGGTTGGTGGTGGTCGGAGGGCCACGTATTGGTTGCCTTGCTTCAGTCAGTGTGCCCCAGGGCAGCTGTGGCTACAATAATAGTTTATCACCACTGTGTTTGGAGTGAATGAATGTGAAGTGTCTTTGAGTGTCCTAAAAAGCGCTGTATAAAACGCATTATTAATATTATTTCGCGTCACATTTTAAGATTTGGGACTCATCATCTTGTTCAAAAAGTTTACTATAACTTTGGAGCAAATTGACTTGAAAAAGCTCACCGATTTTTATGTGCAGCATTTGTCAGAAAGTCTTATTGTATTTTGTAAACCATTTGACGTCACTAGTGAGGTCACCTGCCCCCCATTTCACCTCTGCTCTTTTCTTAGTCTGCTATGTTCCCCTGTGTGTGTGGACGTGTGCGTGCATAAGACAGAAGTAAGTGTGAAAGGTTGTATAAATAGGTAGGATTATTAAAATTGTATTTCTGTAACTTTGTTTGTGTTCACTATGTATATTTTTGACTAGTTTGTAATAGTATATTTACGTAATTAGTCTGTAAATAGTTATAGTATAGTTTATATTATTTGCTAATATTGCCTTCACTATTAATAATACTCCTTTCCTGATCGCCTGTTCCACCATATTAGTAGTCTTCCCCTGTTCTCTATAGTTTAGTTTCACTAAGTTACTTTCACTTCGGCCTGTCTCTGCCCTTATTGCTCGAGTGTAATGGGCTCGATACACGGGAGGCGACATCGCATCGCCTCCATTCATTTTCAATGGGACGTGCGCGACATAGCGTCAATCGCTAGCGAGCCTCCTGCTCAGCGATGGGCGAAAAACGTGCGTGTGAAATCCTCCCGCTCGTGCATGTATCGTGCACGCGCAGGTCAGCGACGCGATCCCAGAAAGTTGAAATCGGCTCAACTTGCCGCATCGCGCCCCGTCTGTCATGTTATCTGAGCGACAGCGTTGAGTTTCGCCGATCGCTCTCATTTGTCGCCTCCCGTGTGTCGAGCCCTTAAACCTGTCATCTCGGCGCGACTGCAGAACACGCGGCCGCCTCTAGTGTGTTGGCATAGTGCAGCCACTAGAGGGAGCCACAAGACCGCTAATTTCTCTCAGATCCCTCACCTGTTTCTGTGTATCTGTTAATGCCCTGAATCTTTGTAAATAGTTATTTTATACGTTTAGATTCGTTTTGTGTTATTATTATAATATTTTATTATATATGTAAATATTGCAAATATTTTTACCAACTTTATGTAAATTCTAATGTTCGTTTGTACTTGTTCTTGTTCCAGACCAGACGCTAACCACACACGCTAACTCACCCCACCCATGATCCACCCATGCACTATCCATTCCCACCTGTAACTGCTTCCATATCCACAAACAATTTCCCCATCTGGATGTACCAGCCTTCTCCGTGCCCTTCTCTCTGACCGGAGCCCCTTTTACAGTGCAGGTGCTCAGATCAGCACACACCAGAGTGTCCCTCTCTATCACAGCATTTGTATATTTATATATGTAGACAGACAGTAGACTTGAGTGCAGACGAGGAGGAGGGAAGCCCTTCACCCTTCAAAGAAACAAGTTGACACCAAAGATTTTCCACTGTGACCATATGAAGCTGAAAAGAAACCAATCATAAACCATTTTATTATCACTTCATGCAAACAGTTCATCACCAAGATCATGTGGTCCGTGGTATTTGCAGCACTTTCCTTCCAAACAGTCCGTAAGTCAGAGATTCACAGATCCTGACCATTGTTGGATTATTATTATTTAACCTACATTTGTTTTGAATCCTTTATTTGTGACTCATGCCGTCGGAGAAACAGTGACTCTGACCTGTCCACGTTCTGACAAAATGGGGGAAACGCCAACATTTTACTGGATCAGAGTTTTGTCGGGAAATTTGTTTGATATTTTAGGAGGAACTTACTCATTTCAATATGATAAAGAAATTAAAACTTCTCGCACCACGGCAAAACAAGGACAAGGAACCTTTGATTTGATTATACATTCGTCCACTCTTCAAGACACAGGATTTTACTACTGTGTGAAAGTATCTCTACTTGATATGAAGCTTTCGCGCAAGTTCACCCTGGTAGACCCAGCTTCTGCTGCCCAGCTCCTCCAGGCCTGCTCTCATCCTCGGCTCATCGCACAGCAACACCCACTTCCAGTCAACCAATGACCGCCAGGCCAGCGTGTTAAAAGCCGGAGACACCCACTTCCCGGCCTTCTCAAGCTTTGCATCCTCTGCCGCCCCACCTCCTCCTTCTCCCGTTTCGAGCGTGCTTGCCTGCTGCCTCTGCGGTCACCAGTGCCTAGGCCCTGGGGGGGATCTCTATGCGCTCAACAGCACCGCTCCGGGGCCTAGGGCGCCAAACATGCTTTAATAAAATACTTAAAGCTGTATTCTTGTGTCGTGGGTCTCTCCAGCGTGAAATTAAATTAGTATTTGGAATATTTCTAAAGGTTAAGGGTAAGCCACTTTTATAGTTAGACATTGTTGAGATACTCACTGCAGACTTTTCTCTTCAGACTCAGAGATGAAAGTGCTGAGTCCTGTGGATTCTGGAGACTTGGTGGACGTCGAGTGTTCGGTCCAGATGGATGCTCAGTGTTTTGAGGAGCACATGGTTTGGTGGTTTGGATCTGGACCGGACTATGGTTTGGTCTGGACTGAGAAGAACAGCTCTGCTCAGTGTGACAGCAGTCCTGCTCCTCAAACATGTTTCTACACTTTCCCCAAAACCCTGAACGCCTCTGACTCCGGCTCCCTCCACTGTGCTGTGGCCGCATGCGGACGTGTTCTCTTCGGAAACGCAACCAAAGTCATTGTCAAAGGTAATGTAACTGTTTTGTGTATTGTGCAATTTGTCACACTCAAAAAGCATGAATTGTTATTACAGAAGAGAAATCAAGTGTCCTTATCGCTCTGGCCGTCAGTGTCATGTGTATAATAGTCCTCATTTATTTCATCAAGAGAAATGGCCTCTGTTTCCATGGTAATTTAAGTTCCAATTGTTTTAATCAAAGGTCATGCATTGTGTTCTAACTGTGTATTTCAAAAATATAAAATCCCTCAGTTGTATGCACAGTTAAACAGAACTGTTTTTAACCTGGTTTTAAACATTGTCAGAGAGGAGGCCTGTCTCACATCTTCAGGAAGATTGTTCCAGATTTTAGCAGCATGAATCTGAAAAGCAGCCTCCCCATGTTTAGTTCTGACTCTGGGGACTAACAGGAGTCCAGTCCCTGTGCTCCTCAGAGTCCCAGCAGGAGTCCAGTCCCTGTGCTCCTCAGAGTCCGGGCTGGTTCATATGGTACTAACATGTCACTAATATATTTTGGAGCGAGGCCATGGAGAGACTTGTGCACAAGCAGAGCTCACATGCCGGTTTGTTTACAACAGCGGCCGCCTGGCGCTGGCCTACGTCGCAAGATATGACGCACTACGTTAACAGAAATGTTTAAATTGAATATTACTTATGCACAATTTTACAGCATTTAAAAACGTTAAGAACGTTTTTCCTTCTACAGAAGGAAAAAGACGCATGCACCTCCGGAGCCGCAGGTTGCCGACTCCTGGTTTATACAGTATGTGGAAGCAAATACTGTAGAGGATCAGGATATGTGCAGTTTCAACAATAAAATAAAATGCAATAGTCTACATTACAAGAGGGTAATACACATGTCTCAGAGTGAGGGAGGTGGACACAGACAACACTATTGTTTGTTACAGGGATGAGAATTGGTCAAAAAAGACTGAAATGCATATTGTCAGCCATTTGCTGGCTCTAAATCTGTTTAATTTGTTCACAACATATTACTTTTGGGCTCAAACATGAACTTTTAATGCAATGCAAAATTTAGGTATCAGAGCTTTGAGAGGAGAGGGGAGACGCGGACTGTTTCCTGCAGCAGTGCATTTATTGGGTGCACAGATTACTCAAAGACACGCATGGTCCTGTGCGCGTTTATGGGGTTGGGTACATGGCGTTGGGTACACGTTGAGGCTGCGCGCTCAGCCACAACACGGTGGAGCGGCTGCGAGCGTCTGGACGCTCACAGCCTCTCGCAGCCGCATTACAAAGCGCCGCAGATGCCCCGGAACACTGCGGCCCGCTGAGGTGGCGGAATCCCGTTCGAGTACATACAGCAGGTGCCCCGCGGATACGCGCGCCCCGCTCGGACAATTCTCAACGGATTTACACTTCTCATAAACATGTGTTTTATATGAGGCAGACAGACCGGCCCAAATATGGGCATCGGCCCTTTGGGCATTGCCCGGTACGCCCGATGACCAGTCCAGCCCTGTTCGCTGGCATCCTTGAGCTTGGACTACAAATTCGAAGTGATGCACAGTGGAGGAGGGCTGGGCCGAAGTGTTTTGTTAGACGCCCATGCCCTTATATAGCAGTCTCGCTGCAAATACTGTGACGTAATAATTCTAAACACGTAATAGAGAATGGCAAAATCAGAACTGGTTGAAAAATCTTACCTAAACAGAATATGAAGTGTTCTCTGCAACCCATGAAGAGACTGATTTCAACTTTTTTGCACTTCTAGAGGCTCCAACTACACAACATCAGGCATTTAAGACACAAAAAGTGGATTTTTCATGATATGTCCCCTTTAAATATGACACTGTATGGCCAAACGTTCAGTTAACTGTCTTATGCAATACTTAGATGTGCCACAAGGGGGCGAAAGAGCAACATGAGTAAAGGTGCGTTCAGACCAAACGCGTCTTGAGCATCCAAAGCGTCGGGTTTACATTGACATAACATGGGGGACGCGCGTCTAGGAGCGTCAAGAGATCACGCGGCGCGTCACGCGCCTCCCGAGCAGCGCGTCTTTGAGCGTTTCGCGCGGCGCGTTTTGAGATTTCGAGCGTCTTGACACGCGTGAAGCGCGACAATGTTGAACTTTTTTGGAGAAGACACGAGCGTCTACCAATCAGGAGCCTCCTCCAACAGTGACGTGGTAACGCATTTCAGGGCAGGACCGATGGGGACGACTACACAACAGCTATGAGGACAAGCTGTGCTGTTAGCCCATGAGCCCTGCAGACTATAACCACCGTGACATTGAGGAGGGCTAGTGAGGAGGTTGGTGTCTCTGGTAAGTTATTTAAACTTTTCACAATCGCTAATACCTCCCTGCACAAAATCTGTAATGTCACAGGTAGAAACAAACCCACAGATTACATATTAAAGCTACACAGAGGAAACAGTCCATGGAGACAGCAGCTGTAGTATTCTAACATGTAGTAAACACTGTTATCTGTATTCATATAAAATAGATTGTGTATATAATTTATAATCCCATACTAAGACTGGGAATACTGTATAACTATTAAAATGTACTGTATATATATGGCTTATTATGAAGCACTTTAGTCTGATAAATATAATGATGAAATAAGAGCACATTATACAGATGTTTCTTTTGTCATTAATAAAGGACATTTGCAGATGACAGTCTCACTTCCAAAAGGTTTAAAGTGGTTAGCCACGCTCCTAAGTTTTATTTGTGTGCAATATTTCCAATATATTATTCTTCTGTTACTCCTCAGTGTCTGTTTCTCCTGCTGTGTACCTCTAATATTAAATACAGGAAGGATTTCTGTATTTTATTTTGAGGTGTCCATGTTTTAACATGATGTTTGTGTTCTTTTTCAGAGACTTTTGGTGAAATGGAACTCAGACTTTCTCTGACAGCAACAAAATCACACGGCATCGTTTCTCCAGCTTTACCTCCATCACCTCCTGCTTCACCTCCATCACCTCCTGCTTCACCTCCATCACCTGCTTCACTGCGGATTAACAATATGAACTGCAACAAACATATTTTCATGTTTATTTAATCATCAGTCTTGAATAGTTAGAACAGTGGGATCTGCGACGAGGAGCAGCAGCAGCAGCAGGAGTAGCAGCAGGAGCAACAGCAGAGTCCTGGGCGTCTGCCTCTGACACCTTCATAGAGAGCCTGGAAATAAAAAATAAAAAATAAAACTTGTTGGTGTTATTATAATTTATTTTTTTGTGTCTGAATTGTAAAGAGTCATGAAAAATAAGGTATTATTTACACAGGTACATATTTGTCAGCAGTACTTATACTTCTAATTGAATACATTCAACTCTATAATCTGATCAGTGACAGTCTGTTGCTTTTCATGACTTCAAAAAGAGCAGTTCTAGGCCTTTCCTGTGTTCAACTGCTTTTTACTGATGTTCGTCATAATACAGATCCATGGATGTGCTTATTATTATTATAGATCCATGGATATTCCTTTTTCATCAGAAAACACCGGTTATTACATTTATGTAAGTGATGCACAAACGAGGGCCATAGCAAATAAATCAATCATATATCATTTATGATAATGGTCAAAAAAGGTCAAAAAAGACTGAAATGCATATTGTCAGCCATTTGCTGGCTCTAAATCTGTTTAATTTGTTCACAACATATTACTTTTGGGCTCAAACATGAACTTTTAATGCAATGCAAAATTTAGGTATCAGAGCTTTGAGAGGAGAGGGGAGACGCGGACTGTTTCCTGCAGCAGTGCATTTATTGGGTGCACAGATTACTCAAAGACACGCATGGTCCTGTGCGCGTTTATGGGGTTGGGTACATGGCCACGTTGAGGCTGCGCGCTCAGCCACAACACGGTGGAGCGGCTGCGAGCGTCTGGACGCTCACAGCCTCTCGCAGCCGCATTACAAAGCGCCGCAGATGCCCCGGAACACTGCGGCCGCTGAGGTGGCGGAATCCCGTTCGAGTACATACAGCAGGTGCCCCGCGGATACGCGCGCCCCGCTCGGACAATTCTCAACGGATTTACACTTCTCATAAACATGTGTTTTATATGAGGCAGACAGACCGGCCCAAATATGGGCATCGGCCCTTTGGGCATTGCCCGGTACGCCCGATGACCAGTCCAGCCCTGTTCGCTGGCATCCTTGAGCTTGGACTACAAATTCGAAGTGATGCACAGTGGAGGAGGGCTGGGCCGAAGTGTTTTGTTAGACGCCCATGCCCTTATATAGCAGTCTCGCTGCAAATACTGTGACGTAATAATTCTAAACACGTAATAGAGAATGGCAAAATCAGAACTGGTTGAAAAATCTTACCTAAACAGAATATGAAGTGTTCTCTGCAACCCATGAAGAGACTGATTTCAACTTTTTTGCACTTCTAGAGGCTCCAACTACACAACATCAGGCATTTAAGACACAAAAAGTGGATTTTTCATGATATGTCCCCTTTAAATATGACACTGTATGGCCAAACGTTCAGTTAACTGTCTTATGCAATACTTAGATGTGCCACAAGGGGGCGAAAGAGCAACATGAGTAAAGGTGCGTTCAGACCAAACGCGTCTTGAGCATCCAAAGCGTCGGGTTTACATTGACATAACATGGGGGACGCGCGTCTAGGAGCGTCAAGAGATCACGCGGCGCGTCACGCGCCTCCCGAGCAGCGCGTCTTTGAGCGTTTCGCGCGGCGCGTTTTGAGATTTCGAGCGTCTTGACACGCGTGAAGCGCGACAATGTTGAACTTTTTTGGAGAAGACACGAGCGTCTACCAATCAGGAGCCTCCTCCAACAGTGACGTGGTAACGCATTTCAGGGCAGGACCGATGGGGACGACTACACAACAGCTATGAGGACAAGCTGTGCTGTTAGCCCATGAGCCCTGCAGACTATAACCACCGTGACATTGAGGAGGGCTAGTGAGGAGGTTGGTGTCTCTGGTAAGTTATTTAAACTTTTCACAATCGCTAATACCTCCCTGCACAAAATCTGTAATGTCACAGGTAGAAACAAACCCACAGATTACATATTAAAGCTACACAGAGGAAACAGTCCATGGAGACAGCAGCTGTAGTATTCTAACATGTAGTAAACACTGTTATCTGTATTCATATAAAATAGATTGTGTATATAATTTATAATCCCATACTAAGACTGGGAATACTGTATAACTATTAAAATGTACTGTATATATATGGCTTATTATGAAGCACTTTAGTCTGATAAATATAATGATGAAATAAGAGCACATTATACAGATGTTTCTTTTGTCATTAATAAAGGACATTTGCAGATGACAGTCTCACTTCCAAAAGGTTTAAAGTGGTTAGCCACGCTCCTAAGTTTTATTTGTGTGCAATATTTCCAATATATTATTCTTCTGTTACTCCTCAGTGTCTGTTTCTCCTGCTGTGTACCTCTAATATTAAATACAGGAAGGATTTCTGTATTTTATTTTGAGGTGTCCATGTTTTAACATGATGTTTGTGTTCTTTTTCAGAGACTTTTGGTGAAATGGAACTCAGACTTTCTCTGACAGCAACAAAATCACACGGCATCGTTTCTCCAGCTTTACCTCCATCACCTCCTGCTTCACCTCCTGCTTCACCTCCATCACCTGCTTCACTGCGGATTAACAATATGAACTGCAACAAACATATTTTCATGTTTATTTAATCATCAGTCTTGAATAGTTAGAACAGTGGGATCTGCGACGAGGAGCAGCAGCAGCAGCAGGAGTAGCAGCAGGAGCAACAGCAGAGTCCTGGGCGTCTGCCTCTGACACCTTCATAGAGAGCCTGGAAATAAAAAATAAAAAATAAAACTTGTTGGTGTTATTATAATTAATTTTTTTGTGTCTGAATTGTAAAGAGTCATGAAAAATAAGGTATTATTTACACAGGTACATATTTGTCAGCAGTACTTATACTTCTAATTGAATACATTCAACTCTATAATCTGATCAGTGACAGTCTGTTGCTTTTCATGACTTCAAAAAGAGCAGTTCTAGGCCTTTCCTGTGTTCAACTGCTTTTTACTGATGTTCGTCATAATACAGATCCATGGATGTGCTTATTATTATTATAGATCCATGGATATTCCTTTTTCATCAGAAAACACCGGTTATTACATTTATGTAAGTGATGCACAAACGAGGGCCATAGCAAATAAATCAATCATATATCATTTATGATAATGTGTGCATTGTTTACATACAATATGACTTTGTAAAAACGAATGATTACTGCCTATACAATTGTTATAATAGAGAAAGTCCGTACCAAAAGCCTCGGACTTTCAGAATGAAGCTTGTGAGAGCTCCACTGAGGTGTCCCCGCGTTGAGACGCTCTTTCTCGGCTTGAGCACTTCCTGACCCCCGCTCTCTGCACTGGAGAAAAGTCCGACAATGTTCTATTTGATCACCAAACAGACCTCCGATATGACAATAGAGGGGGGTATTTCTCGCCTCAAATGTTATTAGAATTAACTTTTATGTCCTAATTAAAGCGTATTTTACACTTTTTACCTTAATCCTGGCCCCCGTGTCCTTCCCTCTCCGAGTTGTGTTGGCAACAGAGCAGGCCTGCCTCAAAACGCTCTTCCTTGACGCGCTTCCAGAACGCTGCCCTCTAGTGTCCTGGACGCGTGTGACGCGCCTCCAAGATGCTCTGTGACAGCGTCTGCCACAATTTGTCACAAGCGTCCCAAGACGCGCGTCAGACGCGATTTTGCCGAAGAAAACGCGATTGGTCTGAACACACCTTTAACCCTGCTGTTGATGAGGACAAGACAAACTCATATTTGGTCTCCTGTTTTCCTTTCTCAGGGTTTACAATTCTCACCCCTCTTGGGCTCGAGAGGGCAACATGTTCATAATGTAATTTGGCACATTTTATTTGTTTACGTATGTTTGAAAGACACTGTGGAGAGTCTAAGGACAGTGGTGATGATCCAGGACACGCAACATTCAACAACATTTATGATCATCTATTTACATTTATGACATTGGGCTCTGTCCCTTAAGGACCAATGTCTCTGTTTGGTTTTTATCATTGCATTTCCTGTGTTTGAACTGTTTGATTCTCTAATCTGTGTGGACGAGTCGAAGGTTTTGTAAAATCCTCTGAGATAACTACTGTTGTGATTTAGGTATGAAAGATTTTTTGTGTCAGATTTTTAATTTTTAATGAGTTTTAATAATCCCATCAGATATTGAACTTGAAATGGACCTGAATTCATCTATTTGAATGTTTTAACATCTTGAATATTTTTGTCAGCAAATTTCAGTCACTGATTATCAATTTAATAATGTTTTTAATGTGAAAATGTAAAAAAAAAATGATGCATATATTTTCGCCGAGAATAAATACAATGGAGAAAAATTGGCATGACACATCTGGTGTTCTGACCAGTTCTGTGCCCGGTCAGTTAGTCTGCACATGCAAAAGTGAACTCTGTTTTCTCTTCACAGAAGTTGCTGTCTCTCCGTTACTATCAAGCAACCTATCTGCAGGGTCAAAAGTGTAGGAAGGTGATGTCACATGTTACTACTGCACGCCTGTTCTCTGAAGACTGTGTCATGAACAGGACAGGCATGACACTATGACCCAAATGTCCTATTTTTAACGACAGGTGATATGTACTTAAATCTCAAAATAAAGCCGAGAAGTTCAGTTAGTTTAGTTTAGTTTGGTCTAATGACATTTTGAGTTTACGAAAGTGGCTTTGGTTTAAACTCCCTCTATAACGTCACATTTCAAAAGAAGAATGGTCTAATATGGGTTAAACACCAACTCTACGGTGCAGAGGCCTGACTAAAGTCGTCTCTTTACTCCAAACAGGCCGTACATCCTACTGTTCACCTGGACCCGCCTCCTGCCTTCTATCTGCTTTACTCAGCAGTCTCCTCCACACGGCTTCCTCTGAATGGAGGTAGGCCGTCCACATCATTGCAGCCTGTATTCACCAGGGCGTCACAGGACACTTTCCCATAGACCTCGATGTTAACAGAAACAGCTCGTCCTCATTTCACAGGGAACAGTTTTCTCAAAGAGTGGCTTGTGGGGGATTGCAGTCTTCTTTGTCATCATGAACTTTTTTTCTTTCCAGAGATTTGCGCAACAAACTTATCTTGGACTCGTCCATTCTAATCAGAGGTGTCATTGTAGAGTCAGGAGAGTTAGCGCCAAACTTATTAAGAAATTAAGATTAAGAGATCCTTTATTCGTCCCACAGTGGGGAAATGTCACTGTTGCACCAGTTCCAGAACAGTAGGAATGAGGAAAGAGCTCTACCTTTAGCAACAAAAAGAGACAAGGATAGAATCTCTGTCTTTGGCATAATGAGTAAAAATTAAATAAAGCCTGGCTCAAGCCAGATCCCTTCAGGCCTGTGAAACTGTGCAGGGCAGGGCCTGGTTAGTACTGTGATGGGAGACCTCTGGGAACATCAGGTGCCACAGTGGGGCAGCTGCGGCTGTAAAGTGCTAAACTATCATTGTGTTCTTTTAGGCAAGACACTTCACCCACATTGCCTAGAATGAGTCTGGTGTGTGAGTGAAAGGTTGGTGGTGGTTGGAGGGTTGATGGCACATATTAGTTGCCTTGCTTCTGTCAGAGTGCCCCAGGGCAGCTGTGGCTACAATGGTAGTTTATCATCACTGTGTATGGAGTGAATGAATGATGATGTGTGAAGTGTCTTTGAGTGTCCTCAAAAGTGCTATATTATCTTTATGTAATTAGTTATTATCACATTTTAAGATTTGGGACTCATCTTGTTCAACAAAGTTACTATAACTTTGGAGCCAATTCACTTGAAAAAGCTCACAGATTTTCATGTACAGCATTTGTATATTTATATATGTAGACAGACAGTAGACTTGAGTGCCGACGAGGAGGAGGGAAGCCCTTCACCCTTCAAAGAAACAAGTTGGCACCAAAGATTTTCCACTGTGACCATATGAAGCTGAGAACAAACCAATCAGAAAGAGCTCCTCCCTTTGATGTCAATATAATAATGAGAGAGACACCATTTTATTATCACTTCATGAAAACAGGTCGTCACCAAGATCATGTGGTCCGTGGTATTTGCAGCACTTTCCGTCAGAACAGTCCGTAAGTCACAGATTCACAGATCCTGCTCATTGTTGGATTATTATTATTTAACCTACATTTGTTTTACAGAATGTTTGGTGAATCCTTTATTTTTGACAAGAACTCATGCCGTCGGAGAAACAGTGACTCTGACCTGTTCACGTTCTGTCAAACTGGGGGAAAGGCCAACATTTTACTGGATCAGAGTTTTGTCGGGAAATTCGCTTGATATTTTAGGATCAACTCCCTCATTTGATTTTGATAAAGAAAGTAAAACTTCTCGCACCACGGCAAAACAAGGAAATGGAACCTTTGATCTGATTATACATTCGTCCACTCTTCAAGACACAGGATTTTACTACTGTGTGAAAGTATATCTACTTGATATGAAATTAGTATTTGGAATATTTCTAAAGATTAAGGGTAAGCCACTTTTATAGTTAGACATTGTTGAGATACTTACTGCAGACTTTTCTCTTCAGATTCAGAGATGAAAGTGCTGAGTCCTGTGGATTCTGGAGACTCGGTGGACGTCGAGTGTTCGGTCCAGATGGATGCTCAGTGTTTTGAGGAGCACATGGTTTGGATCTGGACCGGACTATGGTTTGGTCTGGACTGAGAAGAACAGCTCTGCTCAGTGTGACAGCAGTCCTGCTCCTCAAACATGTTTCTACACTTTCTCTAAAACCCTGAACGCCTCTGACTCCGGCTCCCTCCACTGTGCTGTGGCCGCATGCGGACGTGTTCTCTTCGGAAACGCAACCAAAGACATTGTCAAAGGTAATGTAACTGTTTTGTGTATTGTGCAATTTGCCACACTCAAAAAGCATGAATTGTTATTACAGAAGAGAAATCAGAGGAATTGTCCATTTTAAGGAAGATTGTCATTATCCTCGGTGTCGCTCTGGCCGTCAGTGTCATGTGTATAATAGTCCTCATTTGTTTCATCAAGAGAAATGGCCTCTGTTTCCATGGTAATTTGAGCTCCCATTGTTTTAATCAAAGGTCATGCATTGTGTTCTAACTGTGTATTTCATAAACATATTGGTGACGAAAGAGTCGGTGATGGACAAACAATGTCGTTGGTAAGACGTACTTTATGACGATAACCAACATGCAGAATATTTACCACTGTATTCTTTTGTAGAGAGAGGCTGAGGTGATTTACTCTGACCCCAAGTGCAACAAGAGCACAGCTGACCGCTCCCAGCGCAGAGCAGTGAAGGCAGAGGAACATGTTCTCTACTCAGACGTCAGAGACAAACTGTAAAAGCAAAGTTCTCACAGAGCCACAACCCTCTGCTTGGAGGCCCCATGGCTACTTCAACCCTGCTTTGTTTATGCTTCTATCTGTTTCCTTCCACTTTACGACCAGACTTCCCCGTTACATGTTATAACTGTTAAGACTGGAATAAACTCCCCACATTCATACGATCAGTTATGTCTTTTGGTTCATTTAAGGTTTAGTTATTTAGGTTCCTTAAAACTCCTTGTCACTAATGTTCTGTATTCTGTTTGTGTGTCATTATAGTTAAGTTTTACTTTGTCTCTTCCTAAATGTTTACTTAGTCTTTTCTTAAGTAAACTTCTTTTAGTCTTTTAGAAAAACTTCAATAAACCACCATCAGTTTGTCTTAAGATGTACATTTAAATAGTAAGCATTGTTCAGAACACAGCAGCACGGCCCCTCTCTCTCTCCTCTTTCATCCCCCCTCCTTGTTTGAGTTGGTGATGTTTGTTATAAATGTAACATCATGTTTTTCAAAAATGCGGTCATCACATTGGGGTATTTTGAGTCCCTAAAGTGAAGATTTTGCAGAATATATCACCATTAATAAAATGGCATCAAATATTGTATGGACTGTTTGTGAATGTAATCTGTTAAACATTTACTCACTCAGGGTGAGATCTACCACTGTCTTAAACCAAATTCATATCAACACATATTTTCACCACCAAAATCCACCCACACTCAATAAGGTCATGCACTTTACAGTTTTGAATGTTTAGAGTGTTGCTGATGGCTGCGGCACATGAAAATCTTTCCACCAGTAATAATAATAATAATAATACATCAGTTTTATATAGCGCTTTTCAAGAACTCAAAGACACTTCACAAATTCATGACACAAACACACACGTTTAGACAGACACACAAACTAAAAATCTAAGAGTGAGGAAGAAGGGTAGAGAGTTTAAACTAAGAGTCAAATGCTCGGAGGAAAAGGTGAGTTTTGAGCTGTTTTTTGAAGGAGTTTAGAGAGTCCGAGTTTCTGAGATGGAGGGGGAGGGAGTTCCAGAGAGTGGGAGCAGAGATGGCGAAAGCTCGATCCCCCAAGGTTCGGTGCTTGGATTTGACAGTGGGAGTGAGGAGATGTGAGTCTGCAGATCGGAGTCGGCGGGAGGGACTGTAGGGCTGTAGAGGTTCAGTGAGGTAAGGAGGGGCGAGGTTATGGAGGGCTTTGTAGGTGATGAGGATTTTGAAATGGATGCGCTGTTTAACGGGGAGGCAGTGGAGTTTTTGAAGGACAGGGGTGATGTGCTCTCTGGAGCGGGTCTGAGTGAGGAGGCGGGCGGCGGAGTTTTGGACATATTGTAGTTTTTGGAGATCAGATGAAGGAAGGCCATATAAAAGACTGTTGCAGAAATCGAGTCTGGAGGATATGAATGCATGGATCAGGGTTTCAGCAGCGGTGGAGGAAAGATATGGGCGAAGACGGGCAATGTTTTTAAGATGAAAGAAGGCAGTTTTGGTGATGTTGCGGATGTGGGGCTTGAAGGAAAGGGTGGGATCAAGAATGATTCCGAGGTTTCTGATCTGAGCAGAGGGTGAGATGGTGTGGCTGTCGATGGAGAGTGTGAAATGCTTGGTATTGGAAAGGAGGGACTTGGGGCCGATAATAATAATTTCTGATTTTTTGCAGTTGAGTTGGAGGAAATTGGTGGACATCCAGGATTTTATTGCGGATATGCAATTTGTGATGGAGGAGATGGTGGCAGGGGTTATGGATTTGGCTGAGAGGTAAAGTTGAGTGTCGTCTGCATAGCTGTGGAAATTGAAACCGTGCTGGTGGATGATGTGGCCAAGGGGGAGCATGTAAAGAATGAAAAGGAGGGGACCAAGCACCGAGCCTTGAGGTACTCCGTGGATGACCGGGATGCAGCGGGATGAGCAGTTGTTGATGGCGATGTAGTGAGATCTGTTGGAGAGGTAGGATGAGAACCAGGAGAGTGCAGAGCCGGTAATGCCAGTGGTGAACTGGAGACGGTGGAGGAGGATGGAGTGGTCAATAGTGTCGAAGGCGGCGGAGAGGTCAAGGAGTAGCAGGATGGAGAGGGAGCCAGAATCTGAGGTGAGGAGGAGGTCGTTGATGACTTTGAGCAGTGCCGTTTCAGTGCTGTGTTGGGAACGGAAACCGGATTGAAATTTGTCAAAGAGGGAGTTGGAGTTGAGATGGTTGTTGAGTTGAGCAGCGACAGATCGTTCGAGGATTTTAGACAGAAAGGGAAGGTTGGAGATGGGGCGAAAGTTGTTGGGGTCGTCAGGATCCAGGTTTGGTTTTTTGAGGATGGGTGTGATGGTTGCCATCTTGAAGGCGGGGGGCACGGTACCAGAGGTGAGAGACGAGTTGATTATTTCTAAGATTAGGGGACTGAGAAACGGGAGGCATGATTTGACGAAAGACGAAGGGATGGGGTCCAGGGGGCAAGTGGAGAATTTAATATTTGTAAATAACTTTTGGAGATCTGGTTCTGAGATAGGTGAGAGGTGGGAGAGGGGGCTTACAGTTCGGGGAGAGGGGTCAGGTATGACAGGAGCGGGGGTTTTGGTGAGCTGCTGGTGGATGTTGTCGATATTGGATTTGAAAAAAGTAAGAAAGATGTTGCATTTTTCTGTGGTAAAGGATTGAGTTATATTGTCCGGTGGTTTAAGAAGTTTGTTGACTGTGGAAAACAGGGTGCGGGGATTGGAGGAGCCAGAGGTGATCATTTCGGTATAGAAAGCAGTGCGGGTTGTGGAAAGAGCAGATCTGTAGAGGAGAGTGTGGTCATTGAGGGCTTGGAGATGAACAGTGAGGCCGGTTGTATTGTGAAGGCGTTCAAGTTGACGGCGTTGTTTTTTGAGGTTGCGTAGCTTTGTGGTGTACCATGGTGCAGAACGGGTGAAAGTGACAGATGCGGTTTTGATAGGAGCCAGGGTGTCTAAGCAGGAGGAGAGTGTGCTGTTGTAGTAAGATACCAGGTCAGGAGTGTTTGCGGGAGAGGTGAACTCTGATGTTGATAGGGTTTGGGATAAGTGGGTTGAGAGAGTGGTGGAACAGAGGGAATTTAGGTTGCGGAAAGAGAGAGTGCGGGTTTGCTTGATGTGGGGGTTAGGGATGTTGATGTGAAATGATAAGGCCAGGTGGTCTGATATTGCAAGGTTTGTATGAGAGAGTGAGTCAATGTGTAGGCCAGTGGAGCAGATCAGGTCCAAAATATGGCCACGGGAGTGGGTGGGAAAGTCGACGTGCTGTGTGAAGTTAAAATTTTGCAAGATGTCCAGGAAGTCTGTGGAAACTGTGTTGTGTGCAGAGTCAATGTGTATGTTGAAGTCCCCGAGAAGTAAAATGGAAGATGAGACCGTACAAAGATGTGTGATGAATTCCGATAGTTCTGAAAGAAAGGATGGATTTGGTTTGGGAGGGCGGTAAATTATTGAAATAACCAGAGGGGAGGGGCCAAGGAGTTTGAATGACAGTTGTTCAAATGAGAGAATGGCTGGAATGGGGAAGGACTTGAGTTTGAGGGATTGCCGATGGATTGCGGCAATACCCCCTCCGCGGCCACTAGTGCGTGGTTGGTCAATGTATGAAAAACCCTGTGGAGTGGCTTGGTTGAGTGAGAAATAGTCCAGGGGTTTTTGCCATGTTTCAGTGATGCAGAGTAAGTCCAGTTGTGTGTCCGTGATGAATTCATTTAGTATGTGGCTTTTGTTGTTTAAGGATCTTGTGTTGAGGAGCGAGAGTTTGAGGGGCTTTTGTTGTGAAAGAGTCAGGGCGGAAGTGGAAATGGGCCGTAGGTTATGTATGTTAACTTGACGTGCGTTCTGATGACGCGCAGAGCTGAAAGCGGAAGCGGAGTTTACCCTCAGACGGTGAAACTTAAGCCTGGTTCACACGAGACGATTTTAAAATTGTCGACCGATTTTTTTCTCCGTGTGAGACCCCACACACGGAGATAAAAAATCACGGATCTAACCACTTTGGTCGTACAGTGTGTGGTGCGCAGCCACACGGCAGAATCACGCAAACCACACACGAACCGATTTCACCCCCGAGCATTCACAGGTCACCGGAAATCTCACAACATCGCTCGAGATCAAGCGTGACTTCAGAGTAAACAGAGTGTGCGGGCCTCTCCGCTTCACGCAGCCTATAGAGACTCTCGTCTGACCACAGCAGCCACAGACACCATGAGGACAAACACATACATGTGGATTTTACTGCTCTACAGTTCTCTGGCCCGTACTGTCTGTGCTGTTCAACAATACAGTTTGTACGGACTACCTGTGAACGCATCACACACACTGCTAGACATGAAACTTTACACACGCGCAAACCAACAAGCACGGCTACA